AGGCTCCACGATCTTCACAGAGTGTGAGTCACACAAAGTCCTTTGGTACTATTTCACTTGGTGAGTCACAGTTGCCAAGGTCTTTTGCGGCACACAGTCATTGAAAACAACTGAATACCTTTCACAGTAGACCATACGCTCTACAGATACGGCATCCCTGGAGAAGAAAGCACACACACACACACACACACACACACACACACACACACACACGTAGGTATGTGAATTAATAAAAATTTATATCAAATAATGACTTTTTACTATGCCGTTGATAAGTTGGCAGGTGAAGGACACCACAAGTCACAGTGAGAAATGGCACAGATACAGTCGAGTGCCACAGCAGTGGAAACTTCAGCATGGGGTGGGTTTTGGTTCAAATCCCAGCTCTTTCCTTGACCTGGTGACTTAGGAGGAATGATGCTGAGGTTTGGATACGATTTCCCTCCCCAGAGGTCTGTGTGCTGGAAGCCTGGTACCCACTGTATAATTTTGAGAGAGGGCACAACTTTAAGAGGCAAGGTCCACTGGGAGGTAATTAGGCTACTGGGGGTCCAATGAAAGAAAACCTCGTGATGGGTGAATGCCAGGCTTGGAGAGTTTGTTCTCAAGAGAATGGGTTGTCAGAAAGTAAGGCCACCCTCTGAGGATGGCTTTTCTGCACTTACGTATTTCCCTTTCCATCTGTCTCCTGTGTTTTGACATAGACGGGGGCCCTCACCAGAAACCAAACAGATGTGGGCACTCAATTCTGGGCTTTCAGCCTCCAAAGCTGAGTTAAAGAAACTTATTTTCTTTATATATTACCCAGTCTCAGGTAGTATGGGCTAGTACGATGGTCAATACAACTTGAGACCCAATGTTTTCATCTGATTAAGGGGACTTACTGCCATGTCCACTTCACAAGGGCTTGCCATGAGGTTGACGTCAGATAGCATGAGGGTTGCTTTGACATGTGAGCATACTCATGCAGTATCAGCTGCAATGTCAGTGTTGGTGCTGTCAAGACTGTTTTTCTCTTTGAGGAGGATGTTGGACCCCTGTACTTTGACCCTGTGTAGTTGATTGGCTACTTCTGTAGTTCTGGCACTTCTCTTTTCTTCGTGATCTGCTCACTTACTTGAGCTAGGTCGTCCATTCACTGTGGCTCTGAAGAGGGGAAGAAAGCAAGAAGGCATGTGTAGGAGAGAGGGATGGCTGTGGGGATGCGGGAGATGGAGTGAACCTGACTCTGCGAACACATAGAATCAATAGGTGAAATCGATGTGTTCATAAAAGTTACAGGCCCTGCTGGGTGAGCTGTTTTCCATGGTGACAAGAAATACATCTATTTCATGCCTCCTCTTCTTAGGGCAGGATAGACTACGGCATCACCTTTATGACAGAAGGGTCCAGACTGCAAAGCCATGTCTCTCTCACGTCCCCGTCCTCCACCCAAGGGGTTTTTGTGGTCTAAAATCTCCAACTGGGAGCTTCTTTGCTTCTCAGATGTGAAAGAAATAAAAACCGCTGAAATTTGAGCCTTCATTCCCTCAGTCGGCATTGGCTGTTTACCTACTATGTGCAGAGTTTTGAGCACGAAATCCTGATGAAGTCAGTATTTCTTGTGTACCTAATATGCAGCTGGGGCTTTGTAAAGCACTGCAGACTCAATAGCAAGTAGAATGGATCCGAAAGAGACCGTGACTTCGTTTTGCTGAGTATGTCTGCTGAAAGATGGATGGGAAGTAGTTCTGAGGTCCTTGAGGTTGTGGGGGTGGGGAAGCTGTGTCTGAGGACGTGGGGTGATGCTGTGGCCTGAAGGGGAGGACAGGCTGTTAGTAGAATGGTGGGCAGAGAGGAGAGCATGCAGGCTGTAGGGAGCCCACAGGAGAGGCTCTGTAGAGGGGTAGGGTGGGTGGATAGGACCTCAAGCCAAGGTGCGGTTATTTGTCCAGAGGAGACAGCAAGAGTGGTAACTATGGAGAAGGGGGTCACATTTACACGGACAGAGGACTCTAAAGCACCTGTGCAGAGTGAATTTTCTGATGATCAGAAGATGGAGGCCCTGGCCAAGGGCTCTGTGCAGTGCAGGGGAGAGGTGCAGGGAAGCAGCTGTGAGGGAGGGAGAGCTGGTCAGAATTCAAGAATAGAGTAGTCCCAGACAATCAGGTCATTCAAGGTGGGGGCTGAGAAGGTCAGAGTTGATGTTGGGGGTGGGAGGTGCTTTCCTAACGTGGGACATAGGCCGGGGGCAAACTTGACCAGAGATGAGACTCAAGCATCCCACTGTTGACATTTTGAGTTCGGAGCAGCAGAGGCACTGGAATGGAGATGCCACTTGTCAGAGAGAAATGAGTTTGTAGCTAAAAGGAATCCAGGCAGGAAGCAAAGCAGTGCACCCCTTTCATCAGGCAGAGCCCATCCTGGAGGGCAGAGCATCTTGGGGGGGGGGTGCTACCCCTAGACTTTCCAGGCTAGATCATCACTCTGTGACCTCCACAGCTCTTCCTGCAAGCCCCTCTCCTCGGCAGAAAGTGGTGACAGTTCTGTCTACTTCAGTCTAGCCAGGAGCACGTTTGAGGATCCACTAAACTGAAAATAAAACATGTGGGCTCCTTGGAAATGAGAACTATGTTAAAACAAGGAGTTATTATACTTGTATGTGAGCCAATGAAGAGCAGAAATACAGCCCCAAGGCACAGTATTGATTTGGTCCTGGATGCCTCTCACAGCCGAATGGATCTGACATTCCTCCATGAGTGCTGGCTGAGCGGATGGCAGGAGTCCAACTGCCAGCCTCTTCACCCTGCCACAAGGTTAAGTCTGTTCTTGGCTCAGGCCAGCTCTGACACCCTCTCTCCTGCCTGTTCGGTACTGGCTGCCCTTCCTATGCGCAGTGGTTACAGGGACAGTTCCAGTTGTGAGGCTGGCACCTGGCCAAGAGCAGATGCCCTCTAATTAAACTAGGGATAGGTCTTCCCAGAAAAATCAGAGATTTGCTCCGCAGAACCAAAGGTTGAAGATGGGAGTTTAAAACTTTGAGATACATTAGGCTTATGGAATTTACTTGCTTCATCCATCCAATCATTGGATTTATTGAGTGTCCAGTGAATGTTAAGTTCTGAGATAAGCCTGGGGATACAGGTGTGAAACAGTATGCTCTGTGGGCACCCTGAGATGTTGAGCATGAAGCTGGGTATATAGTGGCAAGCCTTGAAACCATTGTGGGCTGAGGTTGACTTACAGACTCTCAGTGTGAGACCGCAGGGGATGTAGATGTCTAGGGAAAGGATGCTGTGGTGGGAGAATAGAGTCCAGGGATGAACCCAAAGGAGCACGGCATGGATGCAGGATGACACTTGAGGACCAGAAAACCAGGAGCCCATAGAAACAGCCCAGGGTTGAGCAGGGGAGGCTGCTGATGTGACAAATCACTTCAGTTAGTTGGCTCAAAGTAGTTGACTCAAAGGTAGATTAAGATGGCTTGATAAAAGAACTGGATGTGAGGAGGCAAGAATGACATCTGGAGATGACTCTTCAGAACACGACAGAGGTGATGACTGCACAGTCCCTCTAAATGTAAAGTACATTCTCCTTGCCATTCCCAAGCCTGTCTCTCACTCAGGCTACGGCACCAGATACTCACTATATTCCTGTGGTGAGATACATCCTGGGTGAAATGTTTCCCCAACATGAAGAAAGGACTCCACATCTCTCCTGTTAAGGCTTCCCAGAGTGCACAGTAGCTGCAATTAAACCTATGCTTACAAATCACAGTCCAACTTGATCTATGCCATCCATAGCCAAATTATTACAGCACAATTCACAATTGACCACATTATTGTAGTGGCACCTTGAAAAGTGTGGCTCAGACGTGATACTGAGTGCTTGTACCCTGGGCACTGAGGGGCAGCCAAGAGCAAGACAGCCCATGCTGTCCTACAGTTCCAGGCCACAAGGAAGATGCACTTGGAATAAGCGATCTCCAGTGCGCTGAGCTTGCAGCCCGGGCAACACTGTGTCCTCAGGACAGCATCACTGAGGTCCTGGCCTGCATCGCAGGCACCAGGAATCTCTGAACAAATGGATGCTGCTGCTGCAGAATGCATTCGTAGGTTCCAGTTGGCTCCAGTTTGACCAAAGTGAGTCCAGTGCTGGAGGGAGACCATTGCCACTGGGGTCTGACCCTAGGGCTAGCCTGAGTAGGAAGTGAGAATAAGAGGTGGAAATTGTGAGAGGCAGAGGTAAGGAGGCAAAGGCCAGGTTTACAGGGGGCTAGGATTGCACCTGACTGTTCGGTGTGTCTCAGGAAAGCATCATGAAGGTGTTTGAGCTTGTAGTGTGTGCGTGAGTGCATGCGTGTGGATGTGTGAGTGTGTGCGCGCCGTCAGTTTTATTCTAACAGTACTGGGCATTGGCTGCAGCTGTACAGAGAAGCAGGCAGGGGATGCCCCTGTTTTCAGGAAGGGCAATGTGTTAAGTCCCTCACAGCCCTATTTAAGCAAACATGGCTTAGTATTTGGGAAGAGGAGTCAGGACTGGGGCAAGGCCAGCCTCCTGCTTCAGAACTCTGCCCTGTCCCTGAAGCTGGAGCATGGTTACGAAGGACTCCCACGGGTGGCTGTGGGTGAGGACCAGACTTCACAGATGCTGGGTGCATGGCTTGGACGAGGGAGTGGAGAAATTCACTCATGTATTTCTGTGCACAAGAACCATCCAGGGGCTCGTTAAAAGTGCAGACTCTTGGAGACCCTGTTGAGCGATGTTGATTCAGAAAGTTGCCTCCCCATCCACCAAAGTGATTCTGAGCCAGGTGTCCCGACCACCTGCCTTTGGAGAGTCTCCCAACACTGGGCACTTCTTGGCCTTATAACCTCGTTTCCCTCGACCTGAAATCTGTGTCAGTCCTGCAGAGAGCAGCGAATGAATCATGCTCCAGGACGGGACCGCGGAGCATCACGTAGCCGCCAGGGGGCGCCAGAGGCCTCGGCTATGAGCTCGGGCTTCTCCGCCCGCGGACGCCGCGCCCGAGCCGAGCCAGAGCGCTGCGGGCTCACAAAGCGGCCGGACGCGCGGAGGCGGCAGGTGCGCAGGGGAACCAGCGGGCAGCAGCCTTCCCAGCCACCGCTGCACAGGAGCCCCAGCAACTCGGTCACCGGGACTCGAGCGGGCCCCCAAGGTACGTGTCCGCAGAACCCTGAGCCCGAACTTGGCGTATTGGCGTAGTTGGGACCTTCCGGAGGCCATCCCCGGGGCCGACAGGGTCAGGGCCTGGGGGCATCTCTGCGCGCCCCTGTTGCACAGAAGCAGCGGGCAGGGCACAGGAGGACCTTCGCCTTAGCTGGGAATGGGAGGCCCGGCTTGAGGGCACCCTAAAAGCCCCCATCTGCCAGAGCCTGGGATGATGCTCAGAACCCCGTTATCCCTATCCCTGCCCCACAGCTGTGGGCCCCGTCTGTGGGAGTGCGGCTGGCACATTGAGCATCCGGGTTTTGGGGAGAGGTACTGACGCCCCTCATCCGAGAGCAGGTGAGAGGGTCCTCTATAGTTTGACAGCAGCCCCAAATCCCTGACCTAGCCTCTGCGTTTGTAGCTGTCTCCATTCATAAGGGCTCTCCAGGTGCAGCCTCCGTCCCAGGTGTGCGAGGGACCACCCTGTCCCCACTGTGATCATTCGGGTTGCAGCTGGTGCGCTCCCTAGGCGCCCAGACCCCCGGAGGGAGCGAGGGGCTCGAGGTCGCCCTGTTGTCGCCGGCTCACGCCCGTGTGCCCTGCCCCCAGATGCCAGCGATCGCGGTGCTCGTAGCGGCCGCCGCGGCGTGGTGCTTCCTCCAAGTGGACAGCCGGCACCTGGACGCGCTCGCAGGCGGCGCGGCCCTCAACAACGCCAATTTCCTAGACAATGACCAGTGGCTGAGCACCGTCTCCCAGTATGACCGTGATAAGTACTGGAACCGTTTCCGAGACGTGAGTACAGCTGCCACCCTCTCTGGGGGTGGAAAATAGGGGAAGCTCAGAGGCAGGTGAAGGGGTAGGGATGGTAGATTCAAACCTCCCACGGAGGTCCACAGTCCATAGGTCTAGCCTGAGAGGAACTTTAAAGAGAACTTGGAAGGCTGGATGCTCTTGCGTGCTACCTGTGGTCCAGGTGTGTGCACTTGTAGGACTGACGCAGCTGTCTGCACGGAAACAGGGCGCGAACCTTAAGCAGCTTGGGGAGAGGGGCTCTTCAAAGTGTCTGAGAGCTCCGGATGGCAGACTGACTTTACCAAGCCCTAGAGGGAAGCTCCCAGGAGCGGCAGTGGTTTTGCGTCAGACAAAAATCCCCACTGGATGAGCGTAGCTCATTTATTAGGGAGCCAGATGTGGCAGGCATGAGGGGAGTCCCAGATGTGGCAGGCATGAGGGGAGTCTTGGGGGTCTCATGGCAATGAGCTTGATGAAATGTCAGGGAACAGTGCAGTGGTTTGGAGTCTTCCAGACTTTAGTGGAAGGGAAAAGGGAGCAGGCAGTCCAGGGAATCCGTCCCCTTTTCCCCCACGAATGTGCTGGGATGTGGGGGAGAAACTCCCAGGCATCAGGGGCGCTTCTGTTTGTTTCCGGCCCAGTCCTGGCTCCCACACACCTCTGCGCCCCCAGAAGATGGGGCAAGAAGCATCTGGCACAGTCGTTCCAGCAGCCTGTCTCCCCCCACCCCCAGCAGTACCTGTTCACAGCTTCTTCAAAGATTTTACTGGGTGGAAGGGGTCAAGCACTTCCAGGGGACATTAGGAATCCCTGTCCCCAAGATGCTTTCAATATTGTAAAAATATCCAAGACTTATAATGAGTAAGGCTTTTATGTCCAAATGCATTGTTGTTTTTGTTTTTGTTTTCAGTTTATATGTTATGACATTTTTAAAAAGCAGTATGTGCATTTTAAAGTGGTAACCTGGCTGGTACCACCGAACCCCTTGTTCTCATCACAGGGCACGGCTTAAATACAGAGGTGGAGAGAGGTGGCTTCACACTTTTCTCCACAGGGTTTCTTATAGCCCCGTTCTCAGTCCTGTGTCCCCCCCGCCCCCCCCCCCCCCCCCCCCCGGCCTTGCAGGGAGCAGGTCTCTGTGGAACTGAATGGCTCCAGATGTTTGCCTGTGCTTTCTAAATAGCAACCTCTCTAGGGCTCCCTCCCAGAGGCAGAAGCAACTTTAGCCTTGAGTGCAGACTTGCTTATATGCTCTCTCAGCCCCTTCTCCTCTTTGGAGTGGATGGTGGGCAGCTTCTTCAGGGAAGAGGTTTTCAAACATATACTGAGTATCCTTGGTTATTTGGGGCTGTTTACAGCAGATCTGCCTGCTGAATCCCAACAGGCAGATTCCAGCTGCATCTCACAGCCCCCACTAAGTTCTCTTAGCCATCTATGGCCCATTTATGATTTTGATGGCCAGATTGTGATACTTCCATTCCTAGCCAGGTTGGAATGGGGCATGGGGGAGGTATAGACACTGTTTTGCTTTTGTTTAATTATTACATTTCAACTAGAATTGAGGAACCAGGTACATGATGAACTCTTACAGACCTGGGCAAATTGGACTTGGTTTAGAGGATGGGCCACCTTTGCTGGGTGGGTGCTCTGGAACAGGGAATAATGGGTGGGGTGAAAATACTTGTGCCTGCCTCTTGGGTCTTTGGGTTGTGCAAAGGTCTGTATCCTCAGTACGTCATGAGTATTAATGTCCTAATTCCCATTTAGCTTTTCATTTTAAGGAAGTGAATGGCTTCTTTCTTTCTTTTTGTTTTGGGTGGTCCTGACTTTTAAAAAGTAGATCAAATTGTACTCCCTGCCCCCGGACATGACTAATGATGAAATCCAGGTTGCTTACTGAACTACAGCATCCAGCCTTTTTGTTTTGTTTTTATTAATTAAATTATTTATTTATTTTACATCCTGACCTCCCTTCCCTCCTCCCCTCCCATTCCCTTCCCCACCTTCCCTCTGTGCCCCCTCATCCACTCCTCCTTTTCTGTTCAGAAAGGGGCAGGCCTCCCATGGATATCAACAAAACATGGCATATCAAGTTGCAGTAAAACTAAGCACCTCCTCTTGTATTTAGGCTGGGCAAGGCCACCCAGTATGATGAATAGGTTCCCAAAAGCTAGCCAAAGTGTTAGCAACAGCTCCTGCTCCCACTGTTAGGAGTCCCACACGTAGACCAAGCTGCACAACTGTAGATATGTATGTAGAGGGGCTAAGTTGGTCCCATGCAGGCTCTCTGGTTGTCCGTCCATACTCTGTGATCCCCTATGAGCCCAGGTTAGTTGATTCTGTGAGTTTTCTTGTGATGTCCTTGACCCCTCTGCCTTCTACAATCCTTCCTCCCTCTCTTCAGCAGGATTCCCTGAGCTCCACCTAACGTTGGCTGTGGGTCTGAATTTGTTACCACCCGTTACTGGATGAAGCCTCTCTGGTGACAATTGGGCTAGGCACCTTTTTGAGGACAGGCGCTGTGATTCATCCTTTAAACAAACATACTAGACAGTTCCCAGGATGGTTAAGAACACTGCCTTGATGACTGTTTTGAAGAGAGGTCCAAGGTTTAAGCATGAAAGAGGGAAGCTCCTGGAGCAGTTAGGTGCCAAACCAGCGCTTTTAACAGTGTGTCGTTTGTAAAAATGACAATTTGGTTCAGCAAGCCATTAAAAACATCCAAAGATGTTAAAATATTTGCAAACACCATCAATCATCAACCATTTTCTACGCTTCACGGAATCATCTGGTCTCCTCAGTGGCTCAGATATAATTGAATGCCATTAACCTCTTTAAAGTGTCATGAACTCAACAGACATCCTTTTGGGGCAGGTCTAGGTACCTTTAGTTGTGTCACTTGGACAAGCCTGGGCCCTCAGACACCAGGGAGAGAAGAGTGCTTTCTTTAGAAACAGGCCACTCTAGGGATAATATATGAAGTCTGGCTAGGGTGGCAGTGGCTTGACCAGCCTGATCACTCTTAGTGAGCCAGCCCTTGCTCCAGGTTGACAAAACCTTAGCTTCTTGGCTATTATTTTGGGGCTTTTTTTGTTTTGTTTTGTTTTTAGAAACACGGTTTCTCTGTGTAATAGCTCTGGCTGTCTCTACAACTCATTTTGTAGACCAGGCTGGCCTTGAACTCAAAGAGATCCCAGTGTTGGGATTAAAGATATGTGCCACCATGTCCAACTGGAGCTTTTTGTTTTGAAGTTGCTGATCACTTTAAAAGAATATGGTAATGATGCATGTCAGGTTTTTGAAATTCACTGTGAAAGAAAATGACCCATCTCCCACTAACATTGCTTTGTTGGACTTGGGTGATACACATTTAGAAGTGACCTTTGATCTTGGGAAGCTAAAAGCGAAGGGTTACCTTACTTTGTTTTGTCTTATTTTTTGAGACAGTCTCTTGTAGTCTAGTGTGGTATTGAACTTATTATGTAGCCAAGATTGACCTTGAACTCTTGAACTCTGCCTCCCCAGTGCTGGGATTATTGGTGGGCATGTGGTCCTAAGCACCCCTTTTTTCAGAGAGGTGACTGTACATACTGGTAGTCATGTCTGGACCAGCTTGGAAATGGATGGTGTTAGAATGTGTTTCTTTGATTTTTTGAGTGTTGGATGTGCTGTGACATTGCTGGAGATGAACTGGCAGCCCCTGAATTAAGGCTTTGAAAAGTGTCTTGTCACTCAGCACATGGACAGTCACTTTCTCCAGTTAAACATTAAAACTACCCCATGACTTGCTGGCTACAGTTAGGGATCCAATAAGGACATAAAGGCATCCAGATGGCTGTTCCTCCACGCACTGGTGGTTACTTAGCTTGGTATTACTTTATCAAGACTAGAAATTGGGATGTTTTGGCCAGAGGGAGGCCTGGACTTTTGTACAAATACAACCTCAAGAAGGATGCTATTAGCAGGGCAGCTGCACATGTGAGCGCAGAGTGATGTGACAGCATGTCCAAAACCTGGGCGAGCCCAAACCAGACCAGATCCCAGCATGCAGAGAGGAAATGGGCACACAAACCCACTGCAAGCCTTGGAGCTATCAGCAATTGTTGGCTGCCAGGCGGGGAGACAGTTTTCTCCAAGACTGTAGTCCCTGGTGAGTTGACTACTCTAGCAGAGGAGGACTAGCCAAGAATACGTGGGCAGCGCAGGTTTGTCCTGAAGGACTGAAAACAAACACAGTGGGCTTGGTGGGTAGAGAATGGGGGCAGTCTGATGAACACAACAGCAGCAGGAGGAAGCAGAGAGCAAGCGGATGTATAAGCCACACAGCACTTCCCATCCCTAGCTGCCATGTGTCCTGCTTCCCCGTGGTTTGTGTTTGAGACATTAGAGTGCTACAAATCTGATTTGGTTTTGACCAAGTTCCCTCTATTCATTTCTACATTTCACTCATCCTTGTAAATATTTGACTACTTCTTGAGTATGCGGTTCTGACCTATAAAAGTGAGCACGTTTAATGTAATCCTTTCTCTCCTACAGCCTCTGGTATGCCGCTGACTCAGGCTGTTGCACAATTCTTTCTTATTCTATGTTCTTTAAAAAACAGCAAGTTTTTTTTTTCTCATGGAGATAATACCCACTGGAAGTAAGGAAAAGATTTAACATTGCATAAATAGATAATAGCGAACATTTATGGAGCATTCAGTGTGTCAGGCATTGTTCAAGGCACTTCCTGTGCATTATTTAATATAACAATCCAATGAAAAGAGTACTACTATCCTTGCCTATTTATTGAGAGAGCTGAGCTTCTTAGCCAGGATTCCAGAGACACCTGGGTGTGAGGGGCCTGGGTCCTGCAACCAACAGGGCTGAGTGGTTTGCGGGTGTGTACCCTGTCCACAGCTCCATCCATATCATGGTGCAAGGCCTCCCCACTTCATGCCTGAGGGCAGTCAGCCAGGAACTTGAGCAGTGGGAAGCCAGGAGACACAGCTTATTGTCGG